GCTGAGTCACATGGGCGGCGCCATCCATGCCTGCTGGGCCCTGAAGGAAGCTTGACTGGAGATGGCGTTATCATGGGGCTGCGGCTGCCCCCCACGCTTCTGGGCAGATGCCTTTCCCATGGGAACAAGCCAGGAGGTGTCCCAGCAGCCCAGACAAGGGTGGGGGTGGGGTGGGGGGATGGGACTGCAGGACCTGCCTCAGGAGCTGACCTCCTGTGTGGTTTGGGGAATCCTGTCTCTCAGACTCAAGGGCACCATCATCGCTGACTTCCCCCCCACACACCCCCCCCACCCCAGGTGCCCGCAGGAGGAGGTGTAACCTGAGCTTCCCAGTAAGAACAGACATTTGTTTAAAACTCGCAGGTCCACAGGGTTCTGGAGGTGGCCGGTCTTCTCCTGTGGGTGGTCCTGAGCTTTCTTTGGCTCTGGGCTGTAGAGGCAGCATCTATGACTGACCCCAGCCCCCACCGCCTGCCCGACCCGAGCCTAGGGGTGTGGAGTCCTGAATCACTCAGCGCCCATTAGATCTAGAACTCGCTCGACTCAGGCCTGCTCTGAATAAACGAGCAGAGAATCCCATCTCCTTACCCCCGTACCTGCACGTAGAGGAGGTGCGTTTCCGCCCCACACGTGTGGGGAGGGAGACACGCTTGAATCCTCCCCTGAGAACGTGCAGTACAGAGCAAAGAAGGGCTGGAAAGGGCTTTGTCGGCTCCGGAGCTGGCCCTCTGGTCCCCAGATCCCTCTGATCACCAGGGATGAAGGCCAGCCTCTAGTGGGAGGAGCCCTGGTGGGTGACGTGCTGGGCTGTTAGCTGCCAGGCCACTCTGTGGGAGAAAGATGGGGCTTTCTAGTCCCGAAAGAGTGACAGTTTCGGAAACCCACAGGGCCAGTTCTACGCGGTCCGACAGGGCCGCTATGCGCTGGCACAGATTTGATGGCATGCTCGGTGCTTGAACAGCGGTCTACAGGTGACTAGCTTGCACAGGGAGGATCTGGGACTGCTCTTGCCCAATAGTAACCAGCTAGGAGTGGGCCGTGGTCACCCCCAACCCTCACCTGTTTGCAAGGCTGGGTCCTGGCTAGAGGATCAGGGAGGACTAAAGGGAGTGGCCCCTCACAGGCCTCCCCCCTCCTGCCCTCCTCCTCACCTGTCCCCCGTCCCGAAGTGCCCATGGGTCTCCAGCCTGTGCCTCACCTGTCCTTTGCAAACCAGTTGGACTCTCACATCCGGGGCTGGGCCGGCCGTGTGTGGCCTCCCGTAATTGACCTGATAGGTGTTCTTATTGTCAGGATGTCCGGCAAGGAGGTGGAGAACCAGTGGCTTTGTCATCAGCTGGCCAGCAGGCCTAGAATCCCACTGTGCTCAGGCCTCTCTCCTCTGACCAGTAAGGTGAAGACCTTTCTCACACCCCGGCTTCCTG